GCTCATTCCACAAACTGGGATTAACCCCTGAATCTTCTGCAGCACCACCTTTGTCAACACCTCCCTGGGAAGTGAAAAACCCATTCCAGGTTCTCCAGGAAGAGCCCCCTGTGCTCCACAGCAGCCTCCAGACTTTTCCCATGGAATTATCAGGGAGGGGTGACCTGTTGGATCAAGTCCAGAGACACCAAGGTGACCAGAGGGATGGAGCAGCTCTGCTGTGAGGAAAGGCTGAGGGAGCTGGCATTGTCCAGCCTGGAGAAGGGAAGCTCCAGGATGACCCAGCTGCAGCCTTGCAGTGCCTGAAGGGGCGAACAAGAAAGCTGGAGAGAGACAATGGACAAGGGATGGAGCAGGAGGAGAAGGGGGAATGGCTGCCAGTGCCAGAGGGCAGGGCTGGATGGGATTTGGGGCAGGAATTGTTCCCTGGCAGGGTGGGCAGGCCCTGGCACAGGGTGCCCAGAGCAGCTGGGGCTGCCCCTGGATCCCTGGCAGTGCCCAAGGCCAGGCTGGACACTGGGACAGTGGGAGGTGTCCCTGCCATGGCAGGGGTGACACTGGATGAGGTTTAGGGCCCCTTCCCCCCAGACCACTGTGGCATTTCAAGGACACGGCTGCAGCGGCTGCCCCTCCCAAGGGGTCACCTCAGCCCCGTGTCCCTGCGTGTCCCAGCCAAGGAACCTCTCCAGAGCCCCCCACAGCCCCGGCTCCTCGGCACTGCAGCAGCAAATCCTTTCCTCAGCTCACCCCCGGGGACTGCCCTGAGCAACCAACAGCAAATCCCTTCAGCCTCAGCCCGTCCCAGCTCACACTTCCACCCACAAGCACCACAACAGCCTGCCTGGGGCTTCCAGCCAGGAACGGGACAGCTGCTGGGGACGGGGACAGGAATCTGTGCCACCACCACCACAGAGCCTCCAGGGCACGCAGCACTCGGCTCTGCCCCTCGCTCCTTTGAGGAAGCTGCATTCTGAGGGCTGTGGTGAACACAGGGAGAGGAAAAGCAGCAACTGCAGGACCTGAGCAGCCAGGACATCCCAGAGCAGCCAGGACATCCCAGAGCAGCCAGGACATCCCAGAGCAGCCAGGACATCCCAGAGCAGCTCTCTGCTGCACAGCCCGAGTGCTGTCAGCCGGGGAACACCAGGGCACCTCCAACCTCAGCCCTGGGAGCACCCACTGGACACTACAGTGGTGACCATGGAACCATGGAATGCTTTGGGTGGAAAGCAACATTACAGCTCACCCAGTTCCATGGCAGGGACACCTCCCACTGTCCCAGTGTCCAGCCTGGCCTTGGGCACTGCCAGGGATCCAGGGGCAGCCCCAGCTGCTCTGGGCACCCTGTGCCAGG